TCTCCCCCAAATCTTACATGTAATTTCAAGGGCCTCCTAGACTTTCTCCATTGCCCTCCCCAAAGCTGGGTTGCACTCCAGGTGTAGAGGCTCTGTTTTACTGTAAATGTGTTGTGCCGGGTCTTCTCGGCACAATGAGACCCAATGATCAGAATGCATTTAGATTTGACTGCTTCTCCAATTATGAATTGTAATTACACAGGATGTAAACTCGAGTTTAAGTGGTTGTAAAACTGCTCCAATACTCGTCAGACTATTAATTTAATAAACTGAATATTTAGCAGGGGTCTTTATAATTAGGCATCATCTGAGTGAAAGATTCTTGCAAACGGTGTCATACTACATACATTTGGACTGATTTCTTTCCCCAAAAGGGAGAGAAAAAGAGCTAGAGAGTGATGACACTAATCCCTTCGCCTTTAGGTGTTTATCACACTATGAGAGCCAAAACAATTACTCAGGGCTTCATGTGGTAGGCATGACTGGTAAATAGCAAAATGCTATTTCCTTGGAGAATGTTTTTTGCAGTGTTTCACACTGGCGGAGGGAAAACCATTCCCCAACAGGAGCAGCCCTCCTTCTGAGCGCAAATACAAACGAACAAAAATGACATTATGTTCTTGCCTGCCTGCGGCAAAAAGAATCACCTATTCTTAACAGAACTTCAGGTGTGTGATTTTTTTGCTATTTTCCTTCTTTTATTAGATTAGAATGACCACTCCTTGTAAGAGCAAAGCTGTAATGTGGTACTATCAGGACGGCTGGAGGATGCACACTGCGGTATATTATGTCTTTAAGTTAACACATTCTTGCCACGCAGGAATTCCAGAGTCTATGCCGACAGGTGTAGGTGGCATAGTAATTATTTCTTCTCTTTTCCAGGCAGTTTTTTTTTCCCCATAGAATTCATAGTTCACTAATTAAATAATAGTTAAAAGTGACACCTCTGAAAAAATGGGATTAAGCTAAACAAATGGGCATTATTTTTACTTCCAATTCTCTCCAGTTTTCTTCAGCCAGCCCAGCTAAGTCTTCAGTGTTAACATAATTAGTTCTTGCAGAATAATGGCCCATTTTACCAGCTATCATTTCAGGTTGATAAAAAATACAATATTTTTAAATGTTACTACTCCAGTTTAATTCATCCATCAGCTGAAAACAGCCTTTGGGTGATGGAGAAGGCACAGTGGAAATTCCAGCATTAATTACTCAACTATATTTAATCTAAACATCCCAAAATGGTCTAAGCCTTCATGGTAGACTTGTTTCAGGACCTGCTATAGAAATGTATTGTTATTGTTGTTAGGAGCCACTGATATGACCCCCAACGCCTGGCGACCCCATGCATAACGGAGCCAAATACTGCCCTGTCCTGGGCCACCCCTAAGATGGGTTGTGGATTGGATTTTTATGATTCACAGGGTTTTTACTGGCTGAATTTCAGAAGTAGATCGTCAGGCCTTTCTTCATAACCGTATTAGTCTGGAAGCCCTGCTGAAACCTGTTCAGCATCATAGCAACATGCGAGCCTCTATTGACAGACAGAGGGTGGCTGCACATGAGGTGCGTTGGCCGGAATAGAACCCGGATCTCCTGCATGGAAGACAAGAATTCTAGCACTGAACCACCATTGCCCTAAAAATGCATTAGAGGGAGAATTTTTCTGCCATAATACATTTCAAATAACTGTATTTTGATTCAATATTAATATTAATATTTCACAAGAGATGCTATTTTCTCATTTTTGGTTAAATGCAACAATACGCTTTATTCAAGGGATATGTCTGTTGCTTAGTTATTTGATTCTGCAGATGCAAAATGAAGATGGCAATATGTGAGTCATACCTTACCAGGTGTTGTGAGAGTAAACATTCTCTATGTACCCAAAGATTGTTGGTGAAAATTCAAAAAATGGTAGTTGGCATTCTTAATTCTTTCTGACATCTAATTATGTCTGTGTGCAGTTTATGCTGGGCATTTGTTGGCATTTGTTGTAGGTGACTAAAGGGGGAAAACTACTTTTAGTGCAAGAAAGTGAAAATATTGTTAAAAGCGGAAAGTCATTCTATATGGAAATGGTCAGAACTGTCAGAATATTTATGCCAGATGGACTTTTGATATTTCTTAGAAAGAAAATTAGTAAGAATCTAGTTCTAACTTCCTGGAACAAAGAAAGTGTTGTTCCTGATCAGACATTCGGATAAAAACCCTAGCGGGTGTTCCTCATCTATATTTTTCATTCCTCTATGTCATTAAAGCTGTCTAACTGGATTTTCTGAAAAATACTCCTAGAGGTTTACCTGGTTCTTCATATTGTTCTGAGGTGCAGTTTTTTTTAACTGCAACCATTGACATCCTTGTTGATAAATACTGGGAGTAAAATGGTAGGTAAGGAATTCTAATTTAGATTTCTGAAGCTGCAGCTTTAAATTGCATCGGATCATAAACACATAAATATCGAGTTCCAGGCATAGCAAATAGGTAGAACATATGGTTCACAGTCTCCAAATATCCTGTTCAATCTTTATGAGCATAGAAATTATTAAACAGATATTTTATTTGGTAATTAACAACAGGCGAAGTACAGCGACCCATTTTCCATATAGCACAGAGTATCCCACTTCAGAATAGTGGGCCTTTTCATCCTGATAATACTGGATAATTGATGGCAGAGGGTGAAGGCGATAGGGCTAAGGATGTGATTTAAGGGTTTTCTCACAGCTGCCCCAATCCTTCCAAAACTTCCTACGCTCCAGTGAGACGGCAGGTCCAAGAAAGGGTGCAATGGAGTATTGAACTAAGGAACATAAGCGTTCACCCAGACTGTGCCTTTCTTTACGTTGTCTGGGTGAGTGATTTGTGCCCTTTTAGGGATCTGACTCAAGAACACCTTCACGCAGTGCTCACTTCCAGGCAGAACCATCCCAAATGTAGGCAGAGACCAGGGTAAAAGTACCCATGGAGGCCCGTGTGCCATATGTCTAAATATTTAAAAGTTATGCGTCAAGCTAACAAACTGTTAAATAAAATACTTTCCATCCTGCTAATCTGACACATATGCTTTCATAACAATCGGAAGGCCAGATGTACATTTAGAATTCGTAGGACTATGTAGAGTTTGCACTGGACCTTGGCCCAGAACTAGTCCTGGTCTAGTCCTCCCTGAGCTCTGTTTCTCTTCCAGCCCTGAGCTCCAGCTTGCACAGTAAGGGGCCCCTCATGTGAATTCCCCAGTGTCCACTTCTAGGCCCCAGTCACGGATACCCAGTACACGCCTAGGGGTACCCAGGGATGTACTCATGATGCCACCTGCCTTCAGGAGTCTGGTTCCCCAGAAGAGGTCCACATGTGCCCTGAAAGTGGGCAGAAGACATCCAGTAGGGAATTCTAGTTTCTTGGTTCCTGGAACAAAGCCCTGGAGGAGGATCAGAATGGGCTCCTCTAGGCAAAAGGCCCTTCTTTGCTGGGTCTAAAGTTCTCCCTCTAGGCTGTGTCCAAAACCAAACCCACTGCTTTGAATCATTCTGACTCATAGCAACCCTTTAGGACAGAGTAGAACTGCCCCATAGGGCTTCCAAGGCTGTAATCTTCACAGAAGCAGACTGCTACATCTTTCTTCCACAGAGTGGCTGGTAGGTTCAAACCACTGACATTTCAGTTAGCGGCTGAGCCCTTAACCACTGCACCACCAGTGCTCCTTCTAAGCTGTGTATGAGGTCAGAAATGAATCACTTCCTCATCATGGCCCATTGGCGTGAAGTCGATTCCGATTCATAGTGACCCTATAGGACACCGTAGAATTGTCCCATAGGGTTTCCAAGGAGCAGCTGGTGGATTTGAACTGCTAACCTTTCGGTTAGCAGCTGTAGCTCTTAACCAGCGTGCCACCAGGGCTCCTCATCATGGCAGGGTAGTCTTATTACTTTCCCATAAATAGCAACACTTTCTATATAGCTGAAACTTCGCTGCTTTTTTTTAGGTTTTATGCTCATCAATGGTATTTGAGGAAGGGATCATATTTTTACTCTATGGGAAAGTTGATAGATTACTCATACGCAAGACAGTACCTACCTTATGGCACCTATCCAGGTAAAAACAGAGCACAACTTAGTATCCATTTTTCACCCCAATCTTGTTCTTAAGACAATATTGTTGATGGAAGCAGCTTTGCAAGAATAATGGAAAGTCAGCAGATGAATAAAATGCACTGACTTGGGTGTTCTTCAAAGGAATAGATTCTTAAGAAGAATTTAGGATCCCGATTAAAAAGGACATTTCATTTCCATTTGTTATATACCTAAAAGTGAGCTTTTATTAAAAGCAGATCGCATCACTTCAGGAAATTCAGAAAACTAGGTCTAAATACACCTAATGAAAGATATTCCTCATCAGTTTAGATTCCTATAGCCTCATAACAATAAAATGCAGATGAATTTATTTAGATCAAGCCTTCGTTAAATTTTAGAATTAGCTTTTGAAAACCCACATGTTGAAATGTGCAAGGCTGATTCCTGAGCATTGTGACAAAGCCATGAACAGATAATGATAAAGTGCATCGTTGCCAGAAATAACACAGTCTGCCTTTGGTTTGTGCTAATAAACATAAGACAACTTAAATTCCAATTTTAATATCAGAAACTCAACTTATTATAAGCAATCTCAAACTCTGTATGTTATCGACATTTTCATGTGTATTCTTGGTGAGCCTGAAACATAATTTGCTGTTTATGCTTCTAATGTAAATCTCCAATTTCTGGTTGGCCACTCTGGCATTGAGCCAAGGCTCTAATTTATCTCCATCTTTTCTGATTTCTTACATCAAAAGAGACTGTCGGTTTGAATAACAAACATTCAATAGACTTGGACGTGGGGTGGCAGGCAGCACAGGCATTAGCTGTTTACCTTTTATTGCCTTCTCTGAACTGGCTTTTCTGGGAACAAAACCAATAAGACATGCTGTTCCTTCATCTAGTTTTTACCCAGGTTATTTATAAGGAGACTTCTTTTTTTTTTTTTTTTTTCCCTCATTTCAGCAAGGAGTGGCAGCTGAGTGAAGAATTCAGGCTGGAACTAAGCTTCTGACCTAACACCATCAGAGGTTATTGCTCTACCAAGCCATGTAGGACTTCATTGTCCTTAAGACTCTGGCTTGGGCTGATTATTGTTTTTTCTGTTCCAGGAGATGCTGCTGCTAACACATCTGGAGGACAGCAGTATGCTGGAAATGGAATATGAACTGGTTTAGCCCCTTTGAAACTTTGCAATGCTTCTCCCCCGACCCACCTCCCCTTTGCTGTCTTACCCAGTAACTGGCCTAATAAAAGGCAGAAACAAGAATTTATTACACCTTGGGCAGTACTTAGAACAAACTTTATTCTCAGGAACAGTAGTTATGTCTACTTGCTGCTGTATATTTTGATATTTCCTCTAAATACTTACTCTGAATATATTCAAATTGCTAAATCAGCCAAATTCCCTGCTCCTTCCCTGGTTCCCCAGGTTGCCTCTTATGGTACTCAATGTAAACACTGCATTTGGAAAGATACATAGATCAGCATCCCTAGAGTCACATGATCACCATCAATCTGTGAAAATAGCATGACTTAAAAATAAAAGTCTCTTAGTACTCTGCCAACAGGCTTTGGCATAATCTCGGCAATCACTTAGTTTTTTTTTTTTTGCTGTTATAATTTTTCCCAAGTGGAAATAGTCTCATATTTTGCAGAAGTTGTCCAAGCTAGTGAACATCAATCCATCTTCCTGGGTACTAAATTCGTCAGCTGAATGTATTCAGTCCACATAGAAATCAGTAAAGTGAGTGTGAAACTGCTTGGCGGCTGCTCCTTTCATCTTAAGAAATTGCAATACAAATTCCTGAAATCATTAATGCGGGAATTTTTATTCTTTAAATCTTCCAGTGTTAAAGCAACAAGAAAACATTTAGAATGTCCTTTGGTGGAATCTTATTACACTTGTTATATATGTAAACTGATATTCTTTGATGCCAGCACGTTGCCCATACAGAGAAATCTCTGCACAATGAAACGAAAACAGAACGGAAGAGGACAAAATAAAATGTCAGTCTTTGCTGATTGGAATTAGATACATTAACAGATTGTCTGGTAACACAAATTGGCAATAATACAAAAAATCTACATATTACAGTATTTCAAGAAAAATAACTTCATTTGAATACAAAAGGATAGATACACTTTCTTTTTTTCTATAGCCACTCTTGTACAGTGGGTGTGTGCTCACACTGGGGTGTCGCTGTGCTGCTAAGATATACAGCGGTATGACTGGCTTGAGCTTTTTGGACGGGGCTGTTACACATGTGCATCACTAACATCAGACAAAGAAATCTTTCAACCAACAAGGGTTACAGAGCAACGTTCACTAAAGCACAGGTTGGAAGGGACTCAGGGACTGAAGCAGGCCAATATGGCGGCTTGGAACAGATTTTGTTTTACCCACAATGCACTGACAGCAAAGGATGCTTTTATTTGGTTGGTCCACACACCGGGCAGAGCGGTACGAGGGCGCACCACTTTCGAGTAGCAAATGTTTCTCAGTTGGTTGATTTGTTCGTTTGGTTTTTGTCTTTCCACTTTGGGACGGGGGCTGTCACAGCCTTTCCAATTCACAATAAGCTCTGCAGCTGGCAATGTGATCTGTAGTGATAATATCAGCAGCTGCCAACGCCTCTGGAGTCAGAAATTAACAGTCTTGACTCGGATGTGCTGTCCACAGTTGGTAGATATGGCTTAGTTCAGTCAGGCCTTCGTAGTTTGTACACTGTGTTGGAGTTGGGGTGTCTGGGTGTGTGTTTCCTATGTTAGTAGCAAAAGCTTGGGTTGTGTTTGCTTCCCCACGGCACAGGCCCGTCCGCTGGCGGGATGCGATGCCTAGAACGCCAGGGGGCTGGCTGTCCCCAGCACAGCGGCCAGCAGCAGCAGCAGCAGCAACGCCGGGGAGCCCTGCCTGGGCGCGCCCTGGCCGGAGTCGGCGCCGCAGCTGCCCGCCTCCTCACACCGCAGCTTCTCGCAGAGGATGCCGGTGTACGCCTCCGGGCACTGGCAGCGCACGTTGTTGTGGCACGTCCCTCCGTTCTGGCAGTGCAGGAGCTCGTTGTCGCAGACATTAGCTGCAGAACGAGGGGGAGAGCGGGAGATGAGGGTGTGGGGAGGAGAAGCAGAATCAATTTACGTTCATCTGGTACACGGTGTTTTCAGCTTTAAAAAAATCTCTATCGATCTCGCGCTCCCCTTCCCCTCCACAAACTAAGCCTGTGACTCCAATTTCCAAACAAATCTAGTTTGCTGCCTTCGTTTTTTTTTTTTTTTTTTTTATCATATTAGCCCCCTTTCATATAGATTTCTTTTTCTGCAATCTTGAATATTATCGTTGTCCATTTCAGGCCATCGAACACAAGGGAATGTGATACTCCTGGTTTGGTACTCTGCCCTTCATGGAACTGGGACCTGTTGTGACCTCCTGGTTTTTAAAGTGCCTGATACAAGAATGCAGAGCTTTGAAGCTAAATGAATGGTGATTAAAATGCAAAGCAGTGTTGCTGAAATGACCCGGAACCTCTAAAGGGTGGGCTATTCTCCCTGCCCTCGGTCCCAGCCACAGCATGCATGAGGGCCAGAGCCAGCAGAAAAGCTTAGGGATGAAAGGGGCAGAATATGGCAAAGGCAGCATGCTCCAGGCAGGCAGCAGCCAGACCGGAAGAGAGGAAGCTTGTTTCATCTGAGGAGTGCGAGCAAGAGCAGTCACATTAGGACAGCCTATTAGGATTTTTGCCATCTTGCAAATAGGGGAAATAGAGTCCAAGGTTAACTTGGTTTCCCGGAATTAGAGATAAATACAACTGGTGAAACCCTGATTACCAAAATTTCATTGTATCCATCAATTAATAAAAATCACTTTGTTTAAATCAAGACAAGCAATTCCAGAGACAAAAGTTCATTCATGGTCCTTGTCATGTAACTTTTCTCCTGAAATACTTCCTTTTCTTTTTCTGGTCACCCTCATTAACTCCATAGCTCCTATTACTTTTAGATAATAAAGGCTTCAGTGATTTAGCAGAATGTTAAATAGAACCCAGGGAAATTAAAACAATAAAGGGTAAAAGAGCCAAGAACACTTCCCAGCAACATATGCTGCTTAAGCATTTAACATATAGAACCACTCTAGAAGTGGATTGGGTGCAGAACAGAAAAAGTAGCTTTGTATAAAGTACAGCATTATCATTTTAAAAAAATATCATGGCCAGATTCCCCCAGGGGTCAAATTCCCACATGAATTAAACACACACAACCACACACACTGTCTCACATACATTATTATTAAGTGCAAAGTATTTTAAAAAATAACTCCCACCTTCCGAGTAATAACTGAATAGGGAATCTTGCCTTGTCCATTAATCATAATCATGTTCACAAGTCACGTCACCTTCAAAAGAAGCTTCTTACACACAAGCATGCTAAATTCTCTGAGTACAAATGAGCTGAGACAAGATGGTGGTGGTAGATACCCACAAAGCAAGTAATAAAGTTCCCTACACAGAGACGTAACTAGGTTATGGTAGGTATGGTAGGTATTGCACCAGCCCTAGGTGTGTGGCGCCACTGGGCAGTTTCTATTAACCCAGTATGGCCAGGGCGCCTATGGCAAGCACTGATATTTCGCCCCTGCCAAACATCTGACATCTTCTTTTAGATAACTTTACCATAACGCCAGCTAAAAAATACAAGTCAAGATCACTAATCTTTTAATTAACACATTACCATGCTTGGGGAAGGATGTTGGGCTGTACAGGGTCAATAGAAACTGCTCAGTGGCGCCTCATGCCCAGGGCCAGTGCAATACCTTAAATACACCACTGCCTACACAGGGCCTGTTTTACCACCTTCCTCAACAATTCCTTGCTGACCTCTAGCACAGTTGTATTAACATATTGGTATAATTTTCAAATGTAGCCACACTTACTATCTGTAAATGTCAGAAGTGAATATTAAGGCCTATTAAATCTTTCCGGCTCAAAATACTGACATACAAGGTAGTGTTCCAAGCGTTCTAAAGATTATATAAGCTACCTTTCATTGGGTAGCTTAGAAATAATGAATATTAAAACCAAATTATAGGATTTTATGAGTCATGGTTAAAAATGTAAGATCTGTAGTTGTGAGGGAAAGTCCACAAGTGTAGAGTGAGGAGCCTCATGGTCAAAACTGATAAAGGCCTCATTTTTTTTGTTGTTAATTTGGAAAGCATATGTAGGTTTTGAGGATTTTGTTTTGCTTACACTTCAGGAAATATCTGTTTAATTGGGTTAACATGGGATAAACAGATGCAAATAACTGCTTCCATTTAAAGTTAAAGATTCTCAGCATTTCTTGTTCCAGGAAGCAGATTGCTGAATGGGACATTTCCTTTCATTTGGGCGCTAGAGGTAGGAAAAAAACGTGTTCCATCAATATCGATAATTACTTGCCTTGAATAATTGAGAAGAAATCAATAGTTAATTAAATATCACTCATCTTAAAAAAAAAAAAAAAAAAAGGCAATTTTTCTTCTTCTTGGACCTGAATGTAAATCAGTTGTTGAACAGGGGTTTTCTTTTTTTTCCAAGAGGCTGGGGATTAAGTTAACATTTGATGTTGTGCCTAAATTTAAATAGTTAATTTTGATGATTGTGAGAAATTCAATAAATATACAAGCAAAAGACATAGCCCAGGATTAATAATCTCATGGGTTGGAGAAATACATTTTCTATAAAATATTAACAGAAAAAAATGAAACCTAGAATATATGTCTTTAGAATTCACTGTAAAACTCATTACCGTATTTTAACGCAAATAACGCCTTTTACTTTTGTCTTTCAGCCAAGCCCTCTCTGCGGGAGGTATTTTCATAAGCACACTATGCTAATTTTTTTTTTTTTTTTTACAGCAACATGTTTGTTGGCAAACAAACATAGAAGGAGTGCGTTATTTGTGTAAAAATATGGTACGTTTGATCTCATGATTGTGGTATTCCTTTAACAAATAGAGAACTTTACCGTATGCACCGCTGTCTCTAACGTTGAAATCATGTGTTGGAAGTACATTAAAACCTCACTACTGATCTTACCTGCTGTTCTTAAATGCATGCTCCATCTTCATGTCATTTTGAGCCAAAATTGTGGTGGTTAATGAATAAACTAGGTGGTTAACAAATATCATCGAGCTCTTCTTCAGCATATGAAACCTAGTACTAAATACCACGAGGAAAATAAAAGAAATATAAAACATGATCTCTGCTCTTATGAGTTCCAATATAGTTAGGAAGATAAAATATATACTAGACATGATCTAATATTAATTACATTAAAGTGATCTTATTAATTCCACCTAGCTCAACCAACATCTGTTGTGTGCCAGGCAAGATTTTACGGTTGTAACTCTACCTGCTTTAAAGGAGCTCACAGTTTGGTGGCAAACAGACATATACAGAAATAATTTTGACAGAATATAAAAAGACTATGAAGGACGTATTTGCAAACTTCTAGGGGAATTCAGATGGTGGTGTAAATACTTATTCTTGGGAAGATTACAGGGAAGAGGTTATATTTGAACAAAGGGGTAAGTACATCATGCAGATTCTGGTAGAAATGGCATTATGGATGGGGAGACTGTATGAGTAAAATCAAGGGGACGAGAAAGTGCACTGTGCTGATTGTCAAGCAGTTGCCTGTCAACTCTCAAATCCACTCTTCCGATGTTGAGGCTGAAGCCCAGCAAGTTGTCAACTGGATTCACCAATAGGGGACACTAGAGGGAGCAGAGTAGGCAGGAGAAGGAAAGAAGAGATTTCCTTTTTCCTGATTGATGGATCTTCCCAACAGCATTGTTGCAGCTCTTCAGCCCAACAGCAACATTTGGTTCCCATGCTTAGTTTTATTCAGAACCAGCTCCTTCTAAACCTTAAAGGCACTTGCACCGTTTGGACAACACCGTCTCCCTAGAGGTTTGAGCTCTAGATTCATGGGGTCCCTGATCAGCCTTTTGGAGGTACTACCAGCCACCAGAGGTACAGGACCCAGAACTGTGGGGTTTCTCCTCCAAGCTTCTACTTTCTGATAGCTCTGTCTTACTTGTAATCCCCCATTCCCAGGGTGATAGCTGCTTACCCTCTTACTGTCTCTGAGTTAATTCAGTGTCCTCCTTTGATTTTTAAATTCTCAAACACCTGTTTAACCACTTCCTTTAATAAACTCTCTCTGTTGAAATACTTACATGCTTTCAGTTTTCTGGCTGGACCCTGATTGAGAGACACATGGAACTCAGTGAATAATGAATGGACTGGTGTGGTTTGAGTGTAGGATGTGCATAGAGAAAATGGAGACTGGAAAGATAGGTTGTGGCCTGGTTATGAAGATTCTGCATAATACACTATGGAGTTTAACTAATAGGCAATAGGAAGCCATTAAAAACTTATGAGCATGGTAATGTTTTAAAGGTGAGGCTGGATCAGAGAAGAGACAGACTAGAGGCAAGCAGACCAGCTGGATACTTTAGTAAAATAGACTTGAGCCTAGGTTAGAGCTATGGGGAAAGAGAGGAGGGGACAGATTTGGAAACAGGCTGTGTAAGAGAGTGCCAGAGAGATTCTGAGGTTCCTGTTTTGGATATTTGAATGCATCATTATGTAATTAAGAAAAGAATCTAGGAGAAAAAGTTTGGTCATGGAAGGGGGCCTACTGACTTTGAGAGGTCTGTAGGCTCTTCTACAGGTGGCTTGTTATCAGTTGGAAAAACTAGCTAATGGTTCAGGAGATAGGCCATACTGGGGATACAGACTTGGAGCAGCGGTGGTGGTGGTCAATGTTAGAAAGGATGAAGCAGAAAGAGTAGAAGACTACTGGGAGTGTATAGACCAAATAAAATTGAGGACTAAAGATAGAACACTGAAGGATGTTAGCATTTAAGCCAAAGGAAGAGGAAGAAAGACCATGAAGGATGCCGCGAAGAAATGTTGTCAACAAAATGCAGAGATGACATGAAGTTATGAAACTGATCATGGAAGTCTTCCTGCTGTGGATGGCTATCTAGTTATCTAGGAACACACAGACAGATTGGAAGAGTATGAGAGGAAGAC